GCCCACCCCCGGTGGGGTCACAAAGGCTTAAAGCAGGGGTGGGGAACGGCCAACCCATGGCAAGCACCACACCTCCTTTTCACATAGCCCCTTCCCTTCGATGCCCTTCTCGTACTCAAGCCCCCCCCCCCTCCACCTGCCCTGGCACGCTAGTATATTTGGTGCTAGTATGGTTGGGGCCCACTTTAACTAGGCAGTTATTCTCTTAAAGACACTTTCTTAACCCAACGGCCCTCTTTAGGGCCATGACAGGACTGAAGTTTGTTCCTTCAAGTGGTGGCCCTGGACCTGTAAACAAAAATATATCGTGACTGAGCACAGACAAACAACGGGGGAGGTGAGGAGAATTGTAAAAACTTTGCATCTAATTTTAATGTAAAAATGGGCATCAATTTCAGAATTAGCATGTTAAAATACCATAAAATGGGCCATTTGAGCAAGAAGAGTGTTGATGCTATCATTTTAAATTCATACAGAATTATTGCAATAAAGATAATAGGAGTGTGTGCATTAATAGATTAATTTATTTTCTCTTCTCTAAATTTGAAGACCCTTCAAGAGAAAAATCTAAATAAATATTTGATGCAGACTAGTGCTTTAAATCTTGAATTAATTCTTGGTGGCCTGTGGCCACAAAAGGTATTTAAAGGGGGTCTGTGGTGAAGGAAAGCTTGAGAACCGCTGGCTTACATGGTCATTCATTTTCAGTCTTTTCATTATTGACTTTGGCTGTAGGAGCAGGTTAAGTGAGCATTCAGCCAGTGCTGGAATTCTGCTGACTGCAGGTGATAGGACTCCGCATCTGATTTCTTTAGCTCTTTTATCAGTGAAAAATACCAGAGCAGCTCCTTTTGTGCATTCCCAGAGACAGGGTAGTCTCATAACTGGAGTTATTGTCACTACAGCCTTGTTCTAAAATTTCAGTGTTTCTGGTCAGAATCTACTCCATCTTTTCTATTAATCTGTAGCTTGTGAGCAGTTGAACACCAATGCTGGTACTGTAGGTGTGAAACCTTATTTGTTGTGTAAATCCTTGAAGTTCAGAGCTACCCAGAAGATGTACTCACAGTAACAGACAAATAAGTTCTTTTTGTGTTCTGGACTGGAAAGGGCCTTTTCTCCTTTAGGAATATTTTCCTGGTCAATTTTCTATCTTATTTTTCATTCATCTTTTGTTTATGGAATGCTGGTGAAAAGAGTAGAGGCCTTGTTATTACACTGTCTGAGGATTTGGATATATTGCCTGTACTGCATAGGGCAGTTGACAATGTAATCCGTATATGTAGTCAACTCCTTGCTCATAGGTTTGATTGACTTACAGAAGTAAGACAGACTTAAAAATCATGTCAAAAAAGATAGAACTCAGTAAAAAAAAAAAAAAGTCTTCAGCTGCGAGCAGCAGAGTTCATATTAACAGTTTTGTGACAAGGTCTTGTGCTATAGGCTTATACTTAGGAAAGACATTTGATTGGAATAAATATTGTACTTAAGTGGAATCTAATCTGTTCCCTTCACTTGTATGACTACGTAATTTCATTTCAAAACAGTGGACAGCTTTATGTATACAATCGATAACTACAAAACCCGGTAACGTAATACAGTACTCTGAATTAATACCTACATCAAGTAAGTCCATTACAGACCTAACTTCCTTTCTGCTAGATTAAGTACGGGAACCATGTCACATTTGGCATTTCAAATGCAGGAAAGTATTACATTTCAGTGTCTTTCTGCTTAAATCCTTGTATTTGTCCTCTAAAACTTAAAAATTTATTTGACTGTAATTGGTAATGACCAAAACGTCAGAGTAGCATCAATGGTAACTCAGCCAGTGGCCTACCACTACTGTCAATTTGGCTATGTCAGTATGTGGGTTTCTGTGCTACATTAGTCAGTATTGGATGGGATCTTTTGGCCATCTGTGAGCATAAACTGTGTTTAGTGTGCAGTTGTACAGGGTATGTTTTTCTCACCACTTTTGCTCCAGATGCAATTTATATGATGAATTAAGATATCTGCATCTGTAGATTTTACTGTACAACGCCAAGTAGCCACCAGTTACTGTGGCAGCCTGTTTAGTATAGCTGTGAGTGCATGGGAATGGAAAATGATGATTCTGTTATTTCATACAGTTTCTGTAATACAAATGCAGTATGCATTAATCAAAAAACGTTTTTCTTGTTGCTAGCTCTGCATACTCAGTATGTGGTCTTACCCATCTGTTATTCACACTATTGTCAGTAGTGTCAGAATTGGTTAACAGATCTCTTGTGGTGAACGAATCTACAAAGCTTGTAGAGGTGTGGAAGAATAAGCGTGATTTGGGCAGGACTAAAAGATTGGTAGTGACAGTTGAATAAGAAACGTTCAAATAAGGGAGCAGATGCATTTTGTGTTGAATTTTAGCTATGTCACATGAAGTACTGTGTAGTGAAGTCAGTGAAGATTAGACTGTGGGTTTTCTTTTCTGGAATCTTGTACTGTCATTGAGGGCAGGAAATTAAGGTTTAGCCTTAAGGGAGCATCAGTGTTATAAGGGTTTAAGTGTGTTAAGAGGATGCTATTTTAAGTGTGTCATTCACCACCATTTGTTCAAATTCATCACCTTTCACAGTGAGTACTTCATACAGGTTTTATGATACTGCAAGATCTGTTTTACCTCATGCTATTTGGCAGTGAAAGATTGTCATAAGGGACTACTGCTTTCATTTGTATTGCTTTGGAGTGAAAATTGGTCCTTCCTCCTAGGATAAGGGCGAGGTTGGGCAACAAGGACCTTCAGCTGATGTACAGGCTGTGTAGCTGCTAAATGTTGACATCTTCTTTTCTTCTTTCCCTAGTCTTGGAGATCGACTTCTCAGAGCTTGTTCTGGAAGAAATCATTGGCATAGGGGGCTTCGGAAAAGTGTATCGAGCTGTGTGGATAGGAGATGAGGTTGCTGTCAAGGCAGCTCGCTATGACCCTGATGAGGACATCAGCCAGACCATTGAGAATGTTCGCCAAGAGGCCAAGCTCTTTGCAATGTTAAAGCATCCCAACATCATTGCCCTCAGGGGTGTGTGTTTGAAGGAACCTAATCTTTGCTTGATCATGGAGTTTGCCCGTGGAGGATCGCTAAATAGGGTGTTGTCTGGTAAAAGGATACCTCCTGACATACTAGTGAACTGGGCAGTGCAGATTGCGAGGGGAATGAACTACCTGCATGAGGAAGCGATTGTTCCCATAATTCACCGTGACCTGAAGTCCAGCAACAGTAAGTGCTACACAGCAAACAGCCAGGGTGCTGGGGTATGGTTTTGGAAATAAATGGTATACAGAAAAGTGAGGAGTAATGTTAACTTAGTGATCCATTCTTGTGAACCACTGTATCCTCTAATTCAATCCCAGAGGGGCTTATTGTGCTACAGACCACAGGAAACATGTAAATGCTTTCACTTTGTAAAAGCAACTTAAAAGGTTGGATGTAAAAGCAACTGTAACTGGAGCATGCCTCTCCCGTAGTTCATATATGCATACATATATATACACACAGTGTCTCAGTTTTATTGGCATTTCAGCAGACTTCTCAGTGTTGGAAAGTCTTGTGGAACTTAAAATGTGTATTTTTCCTTCCACTTTTTTTGAAGGATAAAGGCTCCTTTGGAAAGATAAATGCTCCTAAGCTTTTATTTTATTTGCTAGATTTTGCTGTATAGATGAGCTGTAAGCTTGTTTTCCTTATGGGAGATTTAACCCATCCATGCTGAATTGAATCTTCTCTCTGTCCCTCATAGAGCTGGTGTTGACAGAAACATTAACTCAGGTAAATGAAATGTCCCGGTGGGTGCCCTTGTCCACCTAGGACTTCATCTGATGTTTGTGGTGCTTCACATGGGATGCAGCTGACCCATTAGAGCATGGGGACTAAACTTTTATAGTTAAGATTTTGGAAATCATGGTGAATAGCTACCCTGTAATACTAATAGCATTATTGTCTGCCACTTGGGTATTGGTTTTGTAGTGTGTCTGTTTTCCCAAACTGAAAATTGCCTCGAAGTCAAATGCATGCATAGAATGTTACTTACGAGTGTGGGAGCAAACTGCTTCAGTGGTTTAAAGATCATCATCTCCTTTCCTGATACCTGCATGCAGCTGTTCAGCCTTTCTCCCCACTTGTTGATGTCTAGATGGCAAGAGCAAACACATACCTGCATGTTGGCTGCCATGGTTTAGGTAGGTGTGTTAGTATGAACTCATTTTCATTTATGGCTTGAGTTAATAAGCGCAGTGAACTGGGTGACTGGGATGCAGGCAAATGTTCTCTTCTGCTTGGAGGGCAGTAATGTCTAGCAAAGAGGTCTGACAGTTTAAAATTTTAATATCTTAAATAGATTCACTCATAGAGCTAGTGTTAACCATTACAATGCTGTAAACTTCCAAGCCTTGCAATCTTCCTTTCTTTTTTGACCTCATATCTTGTGGCAGTGAATTTACATTGTTTGTTGTGAAGGAAAAAAAATACTAACTTGTTAGTGAGTTCAAAAATAGGAACTATGAGAACTTTCAAATTAGTTTCTAAAAATTGTAGTTGAAGTTATCATTTTTGTTAGGGTAAGGCAACCTTAATGTTTTCCTAATATCCTAATAATTTTCTAATATAAATATTTCCTGATATCTAAACCCTTACAGATGGCAGTAGATATGGGCATATTGATAAATGCTGTAAAATGAAGATTTGATTTTCTTGGTTAATGGATGATTGGCTGCATCTGTGAATAAGAAATAGTTGCCTTTGATTGTTGGGCCTTTACTCCACACCTAAGAAAATATTTAATTCTTTTGCTAACAGGTTATTAAGACTTTATTGCTATCTGAACACTTTTGATGTTTAGAATGGAAGATATTTCTAAGATAAAAAGCTGTTAGCCCTTGATGTTTCACGGTTTTATTCAGGCTAGAGACTGCTAGTTGAAAAAGGATATGTATCAACCAGAGAACTAACCCAACTAGAGGGACACCAGTGCATGATGTCACCAACCACACACAGATATGGATGCTAGAAAACATCCGTACTGTCAGCAGCAAGAATAAATGTCTCTTGTCACAGTGCTTCAGCAGTACATAATTGTGCTGCGCTGTAAATTGTCAGTGAGTAGTTGAGGGTTTTGCTACGTGTATTACTAGAATTTTCCTCATTTGTGAGGAAACAATAGTAAAGGAAGAGGAAGGATGAGTGGGAATGCCTGTGGAAGGATTCAAAGATCCTGTGTTTGGAGGGGAAAGCTGGAGAATTTACATGTTGGTTCTGACCAAAGGTACCATCAGATCTAGTACAGAAATGATGGATATAGGAAAATTCTAGCTCAGCTAAGTCTGCAGAAAGCAGTATTACATTTTGGAAACTAAATAAATGTAGGAGCTGGTACTGGACGCAAGAACTTGAGATATTTTAGTGAAAATTCATTTTTTTGGTAACCTTTCACATAAGATGAATTAGTAACCTCAGGTATGGGCTTGACATATTACAATAGCTGTTTAGTTTGGCAATATAGACTTCTTCATGCTGTGCTGTGTAGTGGAAGAGAAATTTTTTTAAATGCATCCTATTTTAAACATTTGAAGATACTTGTTCTTTTCTGAGTGTATCTATAAAGCAAGTACCATAAATACTAGATTATGACAACTGTGGAGTTTTTTTGGTGGAGAGGGAGTTTTGGTCTTTCCTGGATTTTTTTGCTATGGGTTTTCCCCCCTCCCAAAACCAAGTATTGTATCTATACATGCAGGTAGACTTCACTCATGGTTATCTGTAGGATAAACAACTTTGGACTGCCTAAGTTGTGTCTTTCCTGAGTATGCTGACATTGCATTGCTGAAATCCCTTTTCCATTATATGTAATAAGCATCTTGGATATTTCTCCACTCTGTTTTCTATGAAATGTTTTTTACGAGTTTTGTAAGGATTAGTGGACTAAGTATGTTATTGCATCCTGATTTATATAGGGCTTGTTTTTTCTGTGTTTTTCTGATATACTTAGTTTTCTCAATTACTGTGGATAATGGAGAACAGGTTACATTGGTAGCTTTGTGCCAACAGAATTACAAGCTTGTCGTACTTTCTTTGCACAAGTTACCACCCACCAACTAATAGGCAGTAACATGTCTCCGGAGAAGGAACAGCTTCTGCTTGCAAGAACTTGGAAAAGGTTCTTGCAGACACATTTCTTTCATGTACTGAACATCTACAAGTACTGCAGAGCCATCATGGGAGCATCAGCTGTATTGATCTACTGATTGGTACTGCCTACATTTAGTAATAGGTAGTGATTCTCATATATCTCTTGCCTTCAAGCACCATCTGGGACCTGCATTATCCATCTGAAGCTGCAGGTTGAGTTAATTTGGGAGTTAGGGAACAAGATGGAGGAGTGGGAATGAACAGAGTTGCCTTATTTAAAATCAAATTTTCTACTAGAACAGAAGACATTCAGAGAATGCCTTGCTTCCAGATGTCTGCCTATATTTAGGAAGATACAGAATGCATGAGGACAGTACTTCATTATGAACCTTTTAAGAAGGTCGTGTTTGAACAGTAAAATAAGTCAAGTAGGCATCTTGATACATATCTGAGAAATTAGTCCATTATATAAGGGTTTGGAAAAAAAAATAATCTTTTAACCTAAATTCTTTCAGCTTTGTGGACTTGAGTGGTAGGTACCAAAACAATGCTCAGAATAGTTCTCAAAGTTTCTGATGGCATAGTAAATAACATAGTTTTGATTGCTTTGGGATGTAACTTCATCTTGTATAGGGACTGAGCTTCAGGGGATTATCTGAAGATTCCAGGAAGTGTCTGGTTTTGATATTCTCCTTGTCAAAAAGCATTCTGCAAACCAATTGTTTGTGTTCCTTCTTTTAACCAAAAAGGTGGACTTTTTTCCTGTTCCATCATTTTTCTTCACTTTTTTTTTCTCCTTTTCGTTATCATAACTTTAGGTTTAATGCTAATATATTTAGAGTGTAGAAGTGCCCTGTTCAGTTGAAGTACTGTGGTTGTTTGAGGCAGATATTTATTGTAAAACTTGGAGGTTCTCAGGACTGCCTGTTTCATTGCTTTGAGGATGCTGTCAGGAAATGAGTATGTAAAGATCGTTACAGAACAAATTGCACACCTGTGATTTATTTTTAGAGACCCTGAAATTCTTTTGCTGAGTGTAAGTTCAGTTGGCAGTGAGTCTGGTAGGTGAGTGTTCCCACTGGCATTACCAACTCACATGTTAGTCATCTAATTGTGCAAGGGAACAGCGATAACCCAGGAAATCTATTTTGTTCTGCTGTGTGAGGGGATTTCTCTTTTTTTGGCATTTGATTCAAGAGAATCTATTTATTTCATGTGAAAATTAATCACCTTAACCTGACAGAATCCTCTCTGGCTTCTTTTTCTTCTCTTAGTCTGGCAATATTGCTAACCTTTCCCTCTTCACCTGCATGTTGGTGCTTCACTGAGCAGAATTGCTCAATTCTGTGTTACAGAATTGGTAGTAGGCCCCTCCCAATGTGAAGGCTCCTGAATAACCTAAAAGCTGAGCTACAGAAAAAAAAAGCAACTAGGAAAGCCTACTGAAGCCAACATTGCTGTGTTGTGTGGAGCTCTTAGTTTCTTTTTCTCTTATCTGTGACTTGAGTCACATTTCTGGCCAGAGATAGGGGCTTGGCATATAATGCTTAGGATCAAAAAGGGCAGTCCTGTTGGTTTTAGTGAAGTATTGTAAATAATGAGGCTGGTCTTGTTTGTTTCTATTTGTCTGTCAATGTTAGATATGCCAGGATTGCTATAGGAATAATGCCAGTTAACTAATGCTGCAGAGAACTAGCAAAAACATATTTGCTCCTTTTTTTTGTCTGGCTCAGCAAAATACGTTTGTTATTTGCACTACACTGAAAGATTTTGCTGAGGGTGTTCATGCCAGTTTGCAAAGTGCTTTATAAAAGTCGCCATGTCTGTGTTCCACAAAGTGGCACAGAAGATTAGCAGCAAAGTGACATGGCCAAGGTCAAAGAAAGAGGTAAGGACAGAGCTCAGAATAAACAACAACAATTCTGATTCGGTCAAGTCAGTAGTTCTTTTCTAGTTCTTTGAAGGCGTTCACCTCTCCCACTTTTTGGAGCACCATGGTAAGGTTGTGGTATCCCGAGATTCAAAGCTCTGGCTTTCTAAAGAATTCCAAACTCTGCTGTAGCTTTGCTTATTTATTTTATGCAGTTGTTTAAGCC